ACATAGAGATAAAAAGTTGAGATTCACATCAAGTTAAAATATTATAATTTAAATTAATAATAATAATAATAAAGTTCAAGTTGTAGGGGTAACATTCGGAGTTTATTATGTAATTTGTCTTATAAATATATATTATGAGAAACTAACACCAATATTAAGATATTTACAAGCAATCTCAAGTGATTAATGTTTAGGGTCTCAAATAAAAAAAAAGTTCAAATCCAAAGTAAAAGGGATTGGGTCTGTTTGGTAACGTTTACGTTTTCAGTTTATATTTACAAAAATTTTATAAACTGGTTTTTGTTTATTTTTAGAAAAACATTAACTACAAACGCATTTGGTAATTAACAAAATGTTTTAAAAAATTTAAAAATATAAAAAAGAGCGAGAAATGGCAAGTGGCGGCAAGTGGCGGCGGAAGACGGTGGTGGAAAGTGGTGACAGTGGGTGGTGGGTAGCGGGTGGTAGCGGGTGGGTGGTGGTGGTGGGTGGGTGAGTGGGTGACGGTGGCCTGGCGGGTGGTGGGTGGTGGCGGGTGGTGGTAGCAGGTGGGTGGCGGATGACGGGTGGTGGCAGGTGGGTGGTGGGTGGTGGGTGGTGACGGTAGGTGGATGGGTGACGGTGGCGGGCGATGGGTGGTAACAAGTGGGTGGTGATGGTGGTGGTAGTCGTAGCGGGCGGTGGGTCGTGGTGGCAGGTGGGTAGCGGATGGCGGGTGGTAGTGGGTGGGTAGGTGACGGTGGCAGGTGGTAGGTGGTAGCGAGTGGGTGGTGGTGGTGGTGGGTTGTAGGTAGTGTGACAGGTGGGTGGGTGGCAGACGGCTAGTGGTGGTGGGTGGCTGGTGGTGGATGGTGGTGGCAAGTGGGTGGTGAGTGGTGGTGGCAAGTAGGTGGCGGGTGGTGGTGGCGGACGGTGGATGGTAGTGGCGGGTGGTGGGTGGTAGCAGGTGGATGACAGGTGGGTGGTGGGTGGTGGTGGTGGTGGTGGTGAGGGGTGGGTGGTGGTGGCGAGTGGGTGGCAGGTGGGTGGTGAGTGGTGGTGGCGGAAGACGGTGGTGGAAAATGGTGGCGCGTGGTGGCTAGTGTTGGGTGGTAAAAAAAAAAAATTCAAAACTCAAAACTCAAAAAGGAAACACATTTTTTGAGTTTACATTTTTTGGCCAAATTTATAAAGTGAGACCATTGATTTATAAATCAAAAATTTACCAAACAAATTTTTATTTGAGTTTTTAAAATTTTTGTAAATATAAACAGAAAACTGAAAACGTAAGTGTTACCAAACGGCATTTTTAGAGTTTTTGTTTAAATTTAACGATAAATCTGTATGAAAAAAGAAAGAAGAAAAGATAAACTAATTTTCTTTTGAAAGGACTATATTGGTAGGACCTTAATCCTTCTTGTTATTAATTAAAACCTTTTTGACAATAGACTATTTTAACAAAAAAAAAATTCCTATAAAGAAATTAATATATATTTTTTTTATTTTTTACATGTCTTATCATAAAACATAAAAAAACTAACTAAATTAATCATTTCACAAAACAACATATAAATCATTTTCTAACAAACACACTCGTGACTTAGCCATTATTTGCATCATAATGCTACAAAATACATTCACTTACAAAACACATTCAATTAAACTTATTAAAGAGAGAGAGAGAGAGAGAGATTAAGAACATGCTCATAACCCTAATCCATACATGCATATTAACATAACATACTGCCAGACATAAACCACCACCATTAGCTAGTAGTAGAACACATTAGCTATCTCCACTACTACCATTATTATTGTCATTGCCATCACCACCACCACCACCATCATTGCCGCTGCCGCCGCCATCAACACTGTCACCACCACTATCTTTCGATTCTGACTCTTGATTAACATTCTGACTATGTGCTTTGTTCTACTGTACTTTCTGACCATACTCTCTAGCCCTCTCCCTCATATCCCTAGCCCTACTAGCAATCCTCATCCTCGCATAATCGAGTTGCTTCGCCACTGCCCCTGTAACAACCCTCATTTTGACTTAGCTATGCTTGCATTCATTCTTGTAAGATCTTGTCTCGTGATGTTGCAAGTCTTGTTTATCTTGTTTTGTCTTGCTTTGTTTAAAGTGTTGCTTGCATGAATTTGTCCATTTCTTGGTGTGTAGCCGAGGTCATCTTGAGCTTAGTTCGCCTCTGAACCTTTGTACTTAGAACTGTTTTGGGACCGCTTGGTCGACCCCCATCTTCACCCCGGGCATGTTTGCCGAGATGTTTTGCACTTAGTGATCCTTGTCCTTGGGCAGGTATGGCCTAGACCAAGGTGTGGCACACCCAGGCCAAGGTGTGGCACAGCTTAGTCAAGTGTCATCCTCCCTAGCCGATGTCTTTGTTACCCTGTTGCCGAAGCTTTGACTTTAGCCGATATCATTACTTGCCGATGTGTCTTGCCTTAGCTTGCTGCATACGCTTTGTCATAGACTTGTCTTATCAATCAGTCACCTTTTGAGTTGAACCAACCCGGAAGCGCCACGTGTCCGAGCTGAAGGTTAAGTCAGCCGGCAGGCCTGTGAACATATCATTCTTTTATACCATTTTGTTGTAAGTTTTGTTCTTGAAGAGAGAGAAGCTCTAGAAGAGGGAGAAGGAATTTAGAGTGAGAGCGTAGAGCTCCGAGTTGATCTTTGGAGTTTGAACCGTTAGATTCGAGCTTTGAGGTAAGAATCTTAATCTACTCTGGTTGTGGTTGTTGATCATCTAGCTGCATTGCCAGATCGAATCTGTTTTGCATGTCAAGCATCGATTTGAAGTTGGTTTCGGAAGAGAGAAAAAATAGGATTCATGTGTTCTTGAAGAAAGCCTCGTTTTGGTCCGAAAGTTTGGGACAAGAACCATGTTTTTGTGTTTGTTCTTGCATGATCTCTTGTATGGGTACCCAGGTCTATGTTTTGAACTCATGGCATGAAATCTCAGATATTTGTAACAAGTGATGATCTTTGCATTCATCTTCTTCATGATCATGTTCATCATGTTCTTCGTGTTCTTCAAAAGGAAACCCCGGTTTTCCCGACTTTGCTTTTGATGTGGCCATCGGGACCACACCTCGGCAAGGAGGTGTGGGACCTCGGCAAAGACCTGGTTGGTACCCAGTGTGTTTTCATGAGACGGAAGCAGTGTTTAAACTCCCAGCATGTTTTGCTTTGTTATTGACTTGGATCTGGTGGGAATGCCGGGATTATTTGTATGCTTGTAAAGCTTGTTTTGAGAATGTGATTTTCCATGTGGTTGTAGGTCCTTGATCTTTGCTTTGAGCCTACACCCGAGAAGATCTAGGTGAGTGGTATTTTTAATAAAGCTATGTTATACTGTTTTGATAAATCTTGCTTTGCTTTGTTTTGACGAAAGTATTTGTTAAGCATGAATGAATAGCTCTGTTTTGATGTATCAAGTATAAGCTTTGTTTTGATGTCATCCTTGGAAAGTCCCTTGTGCTGGAGGACTCTAAACTTTCGTAGTACTAAGTATAAAAGTCCCTTGTGCTGGAGGACTCTAAACTTTCGCAGCACTAAGTATGAAAGGATACGGTCCTTTCTTGGAAAGACTATCGTGTTAAAGTGGGCTACAGGCCTAAGTAACACAAGACCATCGTGTTAAAAAGAGCTACGAGCTTAAGTAACACAAGTCCCTTGTGCTGGAGGACTATAAACTTTCGCAGTACCTTTGACTAATCGATTACGGATCGTGCAGTCTTTGTTTTGCTACTGACGGTTTACCGCGTGGATTTGTTTGTTCGGAAAGCTTGATTTGTGTTTTGTCGATGCCAGTAAGCATCCCTTGAGACTAGTAAGGCTTGATAGATGAATACGGTTCATCTCTTGATTTGATAAAGTTTTGATGTGTTTTGCTCTGTAAGGATCTCGGCTAATATTCGTATGGTCTTGGCATGTTTTGTTTTGAAAGACTTCGGCTATATTCATGCAAAACCTTTATTACTAGTACCATTCACTGAGTATCCAAGCTCACCCTCTCTATATATATGTAGGTGATGAGCAGGACGGCGGCGACGCCTAGATGTGTTTTGCGAAGCTTGTTTTGGATTCTTGTCATGTCGGCTTGACTTGTTCTATGTCGGAAAAATTTGTGTTACATCGGCGAATCTTGAAGATTATGCTTCTTTGGCTTGTAATCATTGTACTTGCACATGTCGGCTGTAGAAGCCTTTTGATTAAGATTCTAATATGTATTTCGTTTATTATTAACCGAGGTGAAACTATGTCATGTATGTATTTACATTTGATCTATGCACAGCTCTTATGGACCATTTGTATTTTGATTTATTGCTTCCGCATTTGTGAGCCCTGTATATTATACTCTGATTGTGTTTAATTTTGAAAGTTGGCCTTCGGTAATCTCGGATTACTGGCCATCACGGCACCAAACTACTAGGGGCGGTTTGGGGTCGTGACAGCCCCACATCGCCGTTTTCCCGTAATGTAATTGTACAACCAAGCCAATGCCACAGTCGTTGCCACGCTGCAGCCGTTGAAAAACAAGAATCCGATGGTGGCCAAGAATATTATTATCCCAGTTGGGAATAATATTTGGCTGAACCAAGATTCTAAATAGCGGTATTGGGTAACGTAACGGTATCGACGGTAGAGTATCGGTATCGATAGTATCAATCGATATGTATTGGGAATTGAGTGTCGCGGCAGTGAAATTTTAAAAATCATTTCACAGGTTTTTCAACTTTTTCTTTCTTGTACCGGTCTGAACGTGTGAGTATCGGCCCGTCGCGGCTTGTCTAATGGCTTATGTAACGGTTACAGGCCGATACATATTGGGACTCAGCCCATACTCCTGCGATTTTCAATCTCAGCGGTATACTGGCCTGTATCTATTGCGATACTCCATTTTTCCGATACATATCAGCCGATACGTAGCGTATCGGCCAATATTTAGAACTATGGGCTGAACAAGATCAAAACTGGGGTTAGTGATGACCAGGGATATCACTGTCCCAATTAAGGTTAACCTAGACAGGAACAAGAGTGCAGCACTAATTGCTGATGCTATTAAGAGCATAATGGAGTGCCGAGAGGTTGGAGATGGCTCATTGGGTTTCTAGGTTAAGGGTCTTGATTGATCATCGGACATGGTAAATGGTTGTGATTGAAGGTGGGTTTGATCATACGGTGAATTAATGCTAATTGTTTGATGAGTGAGTGAGAAATAGCAAGACAGAATGTAAAAGGGATAAAAATGAGTTAGGAGACACGTGGCGAGAGGACAAACCTCATCTGCTCGTGATACATGATGGGTCTGCATTTCAAGAAGAATGATTGAGTGTGAGAGTAAAAATTATTTCAGAGAAAAAGTTAAATAATACAAAAATCGATAATAGAATAAACACAAATCCTCTTACCAGTATTTAAGAGAAAATTTCATTTGTACTCTTATACTTTTTCTCAATTTTCAATGACATTCTTAGACTTCAAATAATTTCATTTTACCCTCAAAGTTTTTGACTTTTCTCGATTTCAATGACATTCTTAGACTTTGAATAATTTCATTTTACCCTCAAAGTTTTTGAAATTGTATTAATTTTACCCTTGTCATCAAATTTGAAATGGAAAAAGTTAAAAAAAATTACATTTCGGCTCCAAATTTCAAAACAAAGACACAAACACACCCTCTTCTATCCAAACTCACTCTCTCTCCTCCTTCTTTAATTCTTCACTCTCTCCTCCGCTCTACAAGCGCTGCCTCATACTCTCTCTCTCTCTCTCTTTCTACAAAGTTTCACAAAAGGGTGACAATGGAGACAATCTTAGTAGCTTTGAGTCTCGCCGATTCGAAAAAAGAGAATCTTTGAAAAGCCTTCGAAGATCTTCAATCCCCCTCATTTTTTCTCTCCTCCTTTATCCTCTCATGGTTCGACCTCAATTCCCACTTTTTCCCCCTCCAATCCTTTCTCCAAACCCAGTTTACTCTCCTTTAATCCCAACAAAACCCCCAATCTCAACCACCCAAACAACCCCCAAATCAAACCTAACAGCCGGATTCACTTATCTCGGTTTAGCCAGAGCTGAAACCCTTCTGCGAGAACATGGATGGGTTAGACTTGAGAAACTACATAGTCGAGCGGCACAATGAGTGAGTCATGATCAGAACCGAGCTTCCTAACGTGCTTCGGCTCACTCCGGACTCAACTACGATGGTTTTGGATGCGATGGAATATTTCTATGTGAAGAAATCAGAGCTGTATGATTTAAGGCAAACCTGTGTGGTTTTGTTGGAGAAGTTGATGGGTATGAAGCCGAAGATTGGGAGTGAAGTGAAGTAGAGAGCGAGGAATTTAGCTGATGAGTAAAAAGGGAAAGTGGATTCTAATGGTGAGAATCCATTGGAGGCATTTAGGTTTCTTCTTCTTATGGGGACTTATGGTTTGAGAGATGGGTTTAGTGTAGAGGAACTTTTGATTTTGTTGCCATTGCTGCAAGGTATCAGCGTCACGACCCCAAACCCGCCCCTATAGGTTTAGCGTCGTAACCGGCTAGTAATCATGGATTACCTTCGACCTCAAAGACTATATTTCAAGATATTTAAATTATATCATGGCCTAAAGCAGAAGCAAAACAGAAATAACAATGTCCATTGAGCTTGTGCATACATGATGACTAAAATAATTAAAACATTTAAATACAATAGTAATTTACATACAAATCTTATATATCTCACACACATATACATTTAAGACTCAGCAAAATTTAAATATCTAACAAAGCTAAGGGCTAATTTTTTTGGCTCTACTCAAGCTTAACTTGTTCCATTCCGGAAGCTCTTCAAAAGGCTGACACGGGTAGACTCCGAGACTTTCTCTATCTTTGTTGCTCAGTTTGCTTGCCTACATATACATATAAATAGTGAGCTAAAACCTAGTGAGTAATAACAGAATAAAGGGGTTAAATGAATGAAGTTCAACGATAATACAAATACCTGCCTTGTGATTTCAAAACGAATCTTAAATCATTTTCAAAGTAAGGCATTGGCCATATTATATCAAACTTTATCACAAAACATTTTTCGATATCAATTCCCTTATCAAAACATATATTTCGTTTTCCGAAACAATCCATTTCAATAGGTAAAACAATTCGATTAGCCATCATATCAATCCTTTGCAATGACAGAAACCATTGTTCGATAGCATTTTCAATACAATTCCTCAGTGGTGCATGTTATCTCAATAGTAATACTCATTCAATGACAATTTACGTGGTACATCCAATAGAGTAGCAATATATCAATAACAATGGGACCTCAATGGTCAATCAATGGGACCACAATCGATCAATCAATATATCATATCCAATGTGACCATTAAGGTCTAACAGCAGAGATCTCTGTGCTTCAATTATCCAATGGGCCACGGTATTGTTTCCCCCGGGCGAGGGCCAATGGGCCATGGTATTAATTTCCCCCAGGTAAGGGCCTCTTTATCAATGGGCCATGGTATTGTTTTCCCTAGGCAAGGGCCTATTAAACAATGGGCCATAGTATTGTATCCTCTAGGCGAGGGCCTCACTAAAGGATGACACGAATACATTTTCAAAAGGGAACTTCATTAATTCATAAGAGACTAAAGTTTCAATAAACCATTCAATCAATCATATATCGATTTCGAGGACAATGACAGTTTCGAAAATAAATATAATTTGAACATATCTTTATAAAGTTACTACTTACAGTGGGTTAAGTCGATATAAGGCCTCGGACGTCCACCTAAACAAATCACACAACAAACATACAATAGAAGCACCATTTAATATTCATTTCATTTCAATTCAACTCTCTTCATGTGTTTCTAGCTCATTCCATGACTATGTGAGTCCAATTGGTGCCTAAGAATACTTACAATGTCATGAGGATGCAATTATGCATTTAAAAGAGCTAGTCAGAAATTGTTGAAAATAGAGTCCTCGCTCGAGCGCCACTTTGGTCGTTCGAGCGGACTGTAAAATTTTGAAAAACTTCTGGGAGCTCGATTTTCACGCTCGAGCAAGACTTTCCTCGCTCGAGTGGACAGTGTGAATTCTGGAATATCCAGAATTGTGTTTGAAGTTCAAATTTGATATTCAAAGCCTCAAAACTTGTATTTTGGTATAAAAACATGGGGAATCATTGTATAATTTAGTAAACACTCCCAATTAGAAATCATTTATTCAAAATCATGCTCCAATTGTCCAAATTTAGATTTAATTCATTTTCTTTATATCAAACCCACAAATTTTGAAATATAAATTAAACTTTCCAAACCCTTGAAATTTCATGATGTATGAAAAAAAAAATAGAACCCAATTTCATTATTAATAACAAAAATCAAACTTATCTAATGAATTACAAAAATTAATTTCTTAGAGTTTCAACTTAACTTAATTTGTAACCAAAAACTTAATTTATAATCATAGATGTTCCAAAATGTGTCTAAATTGAATAAAACTTTTAAATTAAATTACATGCATGGATTAAAGAACAAATTCAAACAAATTCCTAATTTTCAAAGCTTTTCCTTTTTTTCTTCAAAATATGAGATTGAATTAGTTCAAAATTTTCAAAATCCATGATGCATGTATAATTAGAGCATTAAACTTATAAAATTTGTTCATGCATGTAGAAATGGAACTCAAATTCATGCAAGACTACAAAAATCAAGCTCAACATAATTGATTCTCAATTTAACTTCTATAAATTTGAACCTAACTCCATTTATTCATCATCTTGCTAATTTCTTCTATTTATATGAAATTGAACCCAAATTTAAGGAATCATAATTCATATTCTTCAACCTAACTATTTTACATGCAAATCCAAATTTTAACAATTTATATAATTAATCTTCAAATCTTTATTTTTAATCCCCTTAAAATCCACCTTGAATCAATTTTTGTCTAAATTAATTAAACAATACTAGAAAAAGGATGAAATTCCTTACCTCATGATGAATTTTCCACAATTTTTTTTAGCTTGAATTTGATGTCCCACAAAACCCTCTTCTTTCTTCTTCTTCCTTTGGTCTCTCTCTCTCTCTCTCTCTCTCTCCTCTCTTCTCTATGTGTTTGCATCTAATTTCCAGCACAACACTTATACAAACAAATCTGGTTTCTCTGCACACCCACACACACACAATTCTAAATTCTTCCTTAATTTGATTTGTGATTAAGATTAGCTTAATTAAATAACACATATAGTCTTATAAACCTCAATTAACACATAATTAAATTAATTACTACTAAACATAAATTTCACATAATTTAATTAGTCTAATTGACTTCAATTAAGACCCAATTAATTATATTTAAATTTATTAGTTTGAATCAGATTTTTAATCAAACTTTCAAAAGGCTCCAAATATCAAATTAAATTTACTTCCATCATCAATTTTGATTTCTCAAATCGTATAGGCCTCCAATTTCTGATCAAACCCAAAATCCTTGTCAATAAATTTCATATTCAATTGAACACCTCATGAATCAACTTAATTGACTCCGATTTGAACCCAATTAATTGAATCTTGATTTTACTAAGCTGAACTAAATATTAATTAAACTCCCAAATAGGTCCGTAATTAAAATTAAATTGATTCAACTTCTTAAATTCACTTCCTTAAGCCATTTGAACCCTTAATTTCTAATTCTAAAATAAATCTTTAATAGAATCATATACGAATCTGATTCTACAATTCTCATAATTCCCAAATTAAGTTAGCATAATGACTAACTAAAATCCCAAATCTCCTTAATTAACCAAATATAAAATATTATACGTGGTGAGGTTGTCACAATCAGCAAGCTACTAAATTGTGTCAAGTACTCGATTTCGGCGATAGGATTTCTGTTGGGGGTTTTGAATTTTCCTCTATGTATTCTCCCTTCATTTTCTCTCTCCCCCTTTCTTTCTCTCTCTCTGTATATATGTTTGTGTGTGTGTGTGTGTGTGTGAAAGTGAATATAAGAAACTGAAACAAAGAAGGAAGAAAGGTTGAAAAAGAAGAAGGGGTTTTAAGGTTTGGATTTGGAGAGGGTTTGAGGAGATGGTGGATTTGAGTAGGAGTGGATGGGTTTGCAT